TACGTGATGGACATCCGAGTGCAGTGCAGGAGAATCCAATGTTTCTCCACATCAATTCTGCCATGGCTATCGCCCCCCCCCCCCCCACTTCCCACCCTCCACTTTCACGAACCCACACTGACCAGCGTGGTGAAGTATGGTCAAATCACTCCCACGACGTGGACGGCGTGACAAGGCTGTCATCCAGCAGTGGATTGACAAAAGGTCTGTGCATATCCCCCAAAAATACTGCCCAACATCCTACCCCAAGCGTAACCCATACCCCGAACACGACTCGTGACCATACCCATAATCATACTCCTACATGTCTACCCCTAACTCGACACCTAACCCTCACCCAAACCATTGGCAGAACCCTCTGATCTAACCCTATTACTCATGCGACGCCTACTCCTAACGATGCTCATATTCATACCCTTAACCCTAACCATATATAACCCTAACCCATATACCCTACCCTTATACCAACCCAAAAGCTTACGTGAACCCGAACCCAACCGCTGCTCATTACCCATACACACACCCTATTCATAACTCAAACCCCAATATCTACTCCTAACACTAACACTGCCCAAAACCATGAGCCTAACCCTAACCACTGCTCGAAACGTACCCTTACCCCAACCATTATATCTACTCCTGACCCTACACCTTACACTAACCCGACCCCTAATAATGACAACAACCCCACCTCTGCTCTTCACCATAACCCTATGCCAGACCCCAGACCCCAAGCCCTACCCCTAACGCTCAACCGGATCACTACCTCGAACCTCCCCGTGCCTCACATGCAATGCGCGTGTGCGTGTGCTCCGTGCTCCCGTTGCCTGGAAACGGCTTCCATGGCAACGGAATGGTTTTTCGAGCAGAAACTACAACCTTCTGTATCCCTTCCCCCCCCCCTTATCCCCCCCCCCCCCCCCCAATTTTCTCCCCCCACCTCCCCCATCCACGTATCTTTGCCCGCAGCGTCGTCTTGTCATGGTCTGAGCTCCGCATAGGAATGGGTTGCGTGCAGTCAGGGTAGCGGGACATTGAGGCAAACCCATTGGCTAATCAGCAACAGCAGCAGCATCACTGGCATCGGCTTCTTTGTCGCCATCATCATCCGTCTGCACCAGCAGCATCACTCCACATCAACATCAGCAGCAGCATCACGGTTATCCTCCATCAGTGATGGTAGCGGTAGCGTCGGTCGAGGCAGTATGTAAATATATGCAGCGGCATGAATATTAACAGCAGCAACAGCAGCATCAGTCGCGGGCAGAAATATCAAGAGTAGCATCTTAAGACGCCGCATCAGGGGTAGCGTCACCAGCAACAGCGGAGGCCGCATTATCATCATGAGTTAGTGAAGCAACATGATTACCATGAGCAGCACCAGCAGCAGCAGCATGCATTTCGTCATCAGTTGGGTTGATGGATTGCATAGAGATGCTGTTATTGTGTGTGTGAGGCGCCCACCTGCGTGTGTCTGGAGAGGGGGTACAGCAAGTGGGTGTCTGTTTCATGTTTTTTTTTTTGCCCTCGAGCACGCGGAGAGTTTTACTTATTCGTACTCGCAACGTTGACGGAATGATTACTTTATTCATGGAAATAGCGCAATTAGATACGTGATCATTATTATCGTCAAATCACGATTTCTATATGTAATTATGCTGACTGGTTGTTTTTTAATGTAATTTCTAGAGAGTATGACAGTGCGTGCGTGCAGCATTATGAGGCTTGGTGAAGATTTCCATTTATGGCACGGTTACTGGATTGTGATTGCGATTCTTATTGTCGGGCAGCTTTGCGAAAACGGACGATGATGATGATGACGAGAATAATGACGATGGTGCCGACTACACCTGTTAGCGGGTTACGATGATTGCCACAAAAACACAACATTTTAATGATACTCGTTACTTGGTGATGCTTGCTGCTCCTGCGTTGGCAGTGGCGCACAAGCACAATGAACAACAACAACAACACTCAACACGTTCGTCAATAACAACTATGTGTGTGTATGTGTGTGCCCTGAACAAAATCAAAATAAGTTACGTTTATGGCAATTACCCTTCGTAACACAGAAGGGTCATTGCCTGAAACGTCGCCTCTTGTAAATAGTATTTTTGACGAAGGCCACACAGTCGTGTTATTGACAAGTGTGCTACGTTTATTGTGGCTCTTCACGATGGTCATCATCATCATTAAAAGGTCACTAAATTCATGATTGTAAACATTATTACATTTTATACAAACGGTGCCCGATGTAATTATGTTATTTACGTGTTTATGTACGTAAATATGTGTTTGACTGGGTGTGTGTGTGTGTGATATTCATTGCAAACCATACATGTTAAACATGTAAAATGTGTGTACTGTGTACTCGGTGTCACCACGTGTTTGCTATGATGCGTGTGTCGATGATACCCTAGACAACCCGTGCAGACGAAGTGATACATCTGAAAGGGTTGTTTTCCAGGTGAAATATCTTCATTTATACGTACGAACAATGACTAGACTCGAAAATGACTAGGATCATTTTGATTGACAATGTTGCTAAATCCCGATGATGATGATGATAATGAGAATAAAGCAACCGGGCAGCGATTGTGGCCCAGGACGTGGCCTGTAATCCAGCACTGTGGAGGTTTGGTGGATCACACAAATGCTCTGCAACTCCTTTCCCGTGGACCTCATCGAGGTGCTGTACCCTGGCTCGCCAGCAGAATGCGGTACAGCGAAATGTGGACTCCACGTGTTCCACCTGTATGGGATGAAGTGTTGCACCCCCTCCCCTCGCTCGCACGTGTTGGGTTTCTCCAGGTGTTCCGGTTTCCTCCCATATATAACCCCCAATTAATTGGCCGATAACACCTTCATATATAGAGGACCGCAGAGCTTGCGGGGGCTGAGTTTGCGCCGGCTCACTGCCTGGTCGCTGCCTCTCCTGCTCGTCTGTCATTCCTTTTCTCGACGAGAGTGAGCTAATTCTGTGCGGCAGCGCGTTACAAGTTGACATTCGATTATTATGACTCTAGCGGTTGCATGCGCGCTGCAGAGTAACACGCGGCTGCACACGGAAAAAAACCCCGCGCGGTCTTCTGTGCCCCCTCCCCACTCCTTCAGTAAACATCGCGGTCCTGCACCGCCGTCGTTAATAAGACGAGAGCCCCCCTCCCCTCCCTGACAGGCGAGGGCAGGTGAGACAATGGAAGGGACAATCGGTCACTTGTACCGTCGAGAAAGAAAGAAAGAAGAAAAACTCCACCAACACACGCGCACAACAGAAGTGGCCCACGCCTGCCTCCCGGCAAATGAACAAAAAAAACAGACGCGGAAAGAAAGAAAAACACAACAGCCAAATTTAAAGCCACGACCGCGACTTGCACTGCACACAACAATGGGCTACGGTCACAGGCGCGTCCAGACGCGACTTTCTGATGAGCTCTGCACGCGACGCGGAGGGAGCAAAATTGCACGGCTACGTGATGGATGGCCGGGAGGGTGGTTGTATTGGCTAGCAGTTTGATGATGATGGTGGTGGTGGTACTGCAGCTACAGTTGATGGTGGTTGTGATGCTATTTTTGATGGTGATGCTACTGCTACTTTTGATGATGGTGGTGGTGATTATGCAACGTTTAATGGCGGTGGTGGTTGTGCTGCTGATACTTTTGGTGGTGGTTGTGGTGATGCTGTATTTGACGGTGCTGGTGCTGCTGATACATTTCGTGGTGGTGGTGGTCATGATGATGCTACTTTTGATGGTGTTTATGGTGCTGCTATTTTTAGCGTTGGTAGTGGCAGCAGCGGTGATGGAAGGGCCGCCACAGATGCCCCGAGAGGCATAGGGCTTGAGGCCCGGGGCAAAATGTCACGACAACAAAACAAAAAACCAGGCCCATTGTGGGCCCTCTTTTGTGTGAGGCCCGTGCCAATTCCCCCACTTTCGTCCCCCCCCCCTCCACCTCTGGATGGCCCTGGGTGGTGGCGACGGCCCTGAGTGATCGTCACGTGACCTCCTGCCAGCGAACCGTCGACACTGCACGTGGCCTCAGTGAACCTCGCTTGGCACAAGCACTGTGGTGACGTTACTCTAATTTCGTGGCAAAGTGGCGGCTGTTGTTGGTGATGATGTTGCTATTGATGATGGCATTGATACTACGACTATCAATGGTGGTGTTGCTACGTGTGATGATGGTGATGTTAGTGAGGAGGGGTAGTTTAGTTATGAGCACGCTGCGCTACGAACCCGGCGACCCGTGTTCGATTCCCGCTCACGGCCAACACAGGTGACGAATGTCTTAACCAATCCTGGGCCTCCCCTAGGTCGGCTCAGCCTCAAATTAGTACCTGGTGCGATGTGTAAATATCGCCACTGGGGAGAAAAAAGCGGTCGTGCGTGGTGCTGGCCACCCCACCCCTTATGTGCCGTTCCGGTCTTCATAGGTGCTCTCTAACAGTACTTGCCCAAACAGTCTGTTAAGGCTATACGGGGGATCTTTGTCTTTGTTGGCGCTGCTGCTACTGATAAGGATGACGGCTGTGGTGATGCTACTGTTGTTGATGATCATCATTATTATCGTACTCTTTGGATATAGATGTTCGTGTGATAACCAGGTTACATTCATTAATATTTCTGAAACACTATAAATAAGAACAAGATAAACCCCAAAAATAATCATGTCCCTGTCATTAGCAACGCCTTCAATAACAAGACATCGTAATTATAAACATCATCATCAATATCACCACCGCCGCCATCACCAGTATAATAAAGAAAATATTCGAAAAAAGGTTTGCTGGCTGGCTGGAGGTAAGAACAGATGAACTATCACGTCCAAAGGGTGTGGGGATTGTTAGTAATAATTCAAATCACAATCGTCTTCATCATCAATACAACTCTCATCAGCATGATCGTCGAAAAGATCATAATTTATTTCCAATAATATCATCATCACCACTTAATATCATCATCACCGCCACCACCACCACCACCATCGCACGCACCCACCTTAGCCGCCAGGGAGGAGTTGGGTTTCTCCAGGAGGTCCCACAGCTTCTTGCGCTTCTCCGCGCAGTACGTGGCGTCGAACTGCTCCCCCTCCCGCTCCCGCGCGCTCTCCGCCTCCCTCCTCAGCTCCTCGTTCATCTGCTCCTTCTTCTGGTGGTACCTCGCCTGGCAGCACGACTCCAGGTAGATCTCATCCACGCCCCAGTAGTCGAGCTCCTGGCTGAAGGACAGCGCGCACATCTCCTCCATCATGTGAAGGCGACCCGTGCGGTAAAAGTTCAGGATGGACGTGAATGCGCCCGGGTGTCGATCGAAGAAGAACTCGTTGTCTGCTCGACTGTAGTCGTCGCAGAGTTCCATGATGGCCTCCTCGCTCCCCACCACGCAGGCTTGCAGTCTGCCGAGGCGGGTTCGTGGGAGGCGTTCCAATGTTCGCCAAAGTGCCTCGTGAGTAATGCCCCCGACGTTGATACGAACTCGCCGTGAGTGCGCGGGGTACGGCTGCTGCTGCTGCTGGTGGCTACCGATGCCGTCGCTGTTGTTGTTGTTGTTGCCGAGGTCCTGCGGGACCCGTGGAGGATCGGGAGGTAGCGAGCACGTGGAGCGAGAGGTGCGACGATTCATGCCTGCGGTCGGGGATTCATTCAATCAACCAATCAGTCAATAACGCATCAATTTATATTTCGCAATTATAATAATAATCGGCATCATCTTATTGTTTATCCCGAATAAATGCTCAATGAGCTTTAGGACACGCTATCAGGGTGACTCACTCTGCAATGGGACGTTTAGCCAATGCCTTTGCAACGTATTTTAACTGAAGTTGAACGCGGCAATGCGTTATGTTAGTCCGCCCCAATTGAGGGTCAGATGAGAGGGGGAGGATATCGTGCCGTACTAGAACTCTCGTAAATAATGAACCAGACTGCAGTATAAAATTGTGTTGCTATTAGAGACTTGCCGCATTGAAAACCGGCCAAATTGATCAAAACAGTTTATGTTAGTCCGCCCCAATTGAGGGTCAGATGAGAGTGGGAGGATATCATGCCGTACTAGAACTCTCGTAAATAATGAACCAGACTGCAGTATCACATTGTGTTGCTATTAGAGACTTGCCGCATTGAAAACCGGCCAAATTGATGAAAACGATGCCCAAAACTTGGACATAAACTCTCTCTGACGGCTGCCCGCCAGCTCCCCATCCCGCTAATTGAATTCTTCCGAAGACAGGCAGCGCACGCTGAAATGCATTGCATAATCCACGCGTTGACGTGAAACGTTTCCTAATTTGTTTAAAGCAGGAAGTGTGTTCGTGTTGGAGTAAAACAGAGTACCGGAGAAAATCCGCAATGTACACGTGGGGATAACATCATGCAGAGACTCCGAATCAGAATTTTTATACTGGAGGAATATTCACGAACCGACTTGATGTACTGCCATCCCTGGAGCACAAGTCTATGCGTGATCTATCAACCCTTGCCCCCCCCCAAATCGCCGAATCACAGGCGGGCGTCACCGCGTCTGACTTTATGTGTTTGTCAAGCTGTGTGTTTGTCATATTGTTAGCTTGCTTCATTTTGCCTTTGAGCACCATACATACAAACAGACGGAAGAAAGTGTTCCAACGGTGCACGTTACTCGCTGTGCAATGTATGTACGATAAAGAAGGGTCATTACCCGAAACGTCGCCTATTATATATCTGTCCTTTTTAGGCTACGTGGCGTTATTGACGAATGCGTTGAGTTTTTCGCTGTGACGCGGTTCGGAAGCGTGACCGCTCACAAGGACAATGGGACAGAGACGCTTGGAATCTTCCAACTCTTTCGTCTATCCTTGTACTGGACGTGCATTGGAGATGTGACGGTTCCACCTGAAGACGGAAGCTGGTGTTGCTTCCGAAACGTCGTGATTTTTATTTTGTTTTACTTTTATTAATTTTAATGTTTTACCTACACGGTGACTTTACCAAAAAAAACCTAAGAATATGTGTAGCACAATATCCCATCCCCATCGGAGCCTTTGTATTAATCGGGTTGCCCCCCTTTGAATCATCAATACAACCCGTACCTCCCTATCTCTCTGAATCGTCAAATAAAACAATGAACATTATAGATGTTTTACGCATCCCATTGTGATCACGTGGGGTCTGTGGTGCAATGGATAGCGCGGCTGCCTGCGGACTAGAAGGTTGTAGGTTCGATTCCTGCCAGGCTCGATTATATTTTTTAAATATTTTTTTTATTTCTCGTCACATCTCTAACGTCTTAACAGGGGCTTCAAAACAGCAACATCGAGGGCGATACAGAGCAACAAATACAATTTCACATCCAGGTGGTCAAGCCAGATAATAACCGCGGCAGGATCAGTGGCGGAGTGTGTCGCCGTGATGTCTCCCTTCATATTGTGGATCGGGCATTGCATCGTTATATGTTTGTACGGTCTGTTCTGGAACGCTTGGAATGACACCGAGGGACAGGAGAACAAGGATCAAATCCTAAATTCGAGACTTCGCATGGACTGTTTAAAACAACTATTTGGTGGAAATTTGTACATGACGCGCCACGACCAGATGGAACGACGACAGTGGCAACCAATGGAGGGAACGCGCTCAAAAAGGACCACCACCAGCACCGCCGCCGTGTACGACGGAGCGATTAGATCAACAACTCGTGCGCAGGCACGAGACGGATTTGGGGGCGTCGCGAGACCGTGAAGAGTAGCGACGTTGGGGGAGGCCTTAATTCAGCAGTGGAAAGGCAATGACTCACGGTCATGAAAATTGGACGACCACCCCAAATCGCTTAACTTAGATCATTCGAACAGCTCAATACAAGAGACAAATCAAGACGCAGTAATAAAGAAAACATTACATGCATTCATATTGTAGTAGGTAGGGGTGTAACCGTGCTGTGTGTGTGTGTGGTGTCTCCGCGGGGAGCAATAGCAAAGTGATTAACGCACTGTGACCCCAGTTCGAATTCCGCTCACGGCTAATACCGGTGACGATTATATGAACCGGTCCTGGGCCTCCCATAGGTCGACTCAGCCTCAAATGAGTACCTGGTGCGATGTGTAAATATCGCCACTAGGGAGACAAAGGCGGCCGGGCGTCGTGGTGTTGACCACCCACCCCCTAGTGTGCCGTTCCGGCCTTCATAGGTGCTCGCTAACAGCACTTGTCCGAAACATATTTCACAACAATACGGGGAATCTTTGTAGTTCTTGAATGTCGTAGGCTGTTAAGGACCCGTGGACGCCAGTGTCGGCTTAGAGAAAGCGCATCTCAACTGAGCAGCAGCGAGATTGTAACAGTTCCCGATTTGCTATTTGGCAAGCCAAGGCCACGGTAACACAAAGCCACGGTCTATATTTGGTCCAAGTGAGTGAGTGCCCATTGAGATTAATTTACTCCATATTCTCACGCAAGGCTTCTGCCCATCTCAGGAGAGATTTATTTAATTTATCTAAAGGTAATTTAATCATTCCCAACTTGTGATGGCGATGATGATGTCCTTTATTTAACCAATTCAGTGCCTTTGGTTGGTATACCACCAATATGATTGGTGTCCTTTGCACAAATAGAAGGGAAAAGGGGTCATTGAGATTCATTATCTTGATTGATAGTTTGATGTTCTTCATTTTAAGATGTGATGTCCTGTTGAGATTCATTCTCTTGATTGATTGCTGGCCTTTAAACAAGTGAGAGCCGTTTGAGATGCATTATCTAGATTGATTGATTGCCTTTATTTGAAGACGGCAGAACCTATTGAGGTTTTCTTTTGAGATGGACAAAGATAAACGCACAGATGATAACGACCTGGCACGCGTGTACATGGGCACAGACAAACACAAAGATTCCCCGTAAAGCCTTAACAGACTGTTGGGCCAAGTGCTGTTAGCGAGCACCCGTGAAGGCCGGCACGGTACACGAGGGGGTGGAATGGCCACTGGCGATGTTTACACACCGCACCAGGTACTCATTTGAGGCTGAGTCGACCTAGGGGAGACCCAGGACCGGTTCAGACAATCCTCACTGGTGTTGGCTGTGAGCGGGAACCGATCTCGGATCGCCGGGTTCGTAACGTAGCGTGCTACCGCTTCCTACACAGAACAACAAAGACATATACACACAATCCGCCGGTTGCCACTAAATGTTAGCTATGTCACCCCAACGCCAGTGCCAGGCTAGGTGCACTGAGGCTTCACATTCACTTGAAGACAAGTAAACCATAGCGCTCGTTCCAAGATAAAAAAAAAGTATATTAAGAGCTTTATTGCCAAAAAAGCCCCCAGTGTAACCTGACACAGAATGTTGGTAGCGAACATCGAATAGAATGGTACAGCATACGTGGGGGGGCGGAGAGGCAGGGGGAGGGGGTGGAGGGGGGGTCTGGACAGCCCATCATCTGGCTGTTTTTATCTCCCGCAGTGATGATGATGATGCTTCACACCGCACCAGGCACGCACTTAAGGCCGAGTCTACCTAGGGCCGTGTTTGTCTCCCGCAGCGATGATGATGCTTTACACCGTACCAGGCACGCGTTTAAGGGCTGAGTCTTGCCTAGGGCAGGCGCTGGACGACAACAACAAAATCTGATATCGGTCGTTTGTGTGGCCACGCGGAGCAGAGAGACGTCGACTCAGATTATGCAGCGAGATAGACAAAAAAAAGACAGAGATCCCCCGCATAGCCTTACCAGACTGTTGCGGCAAGTGCTGCTAGCGAGCACCAGCGAGATTGAGACAGCAGAAAACAGAGGCACAAAGATGCACAGAGCGACAGCGGTGATTGGGGGAGGGACACAGAGACACAGACAGACAGCCAGGAGACACTCACCTCGTTACACTGAAGCTCCCGGCCTCATGAGAGCGCCTCTCACCCCCGAGAGCCGACCCCCCACGCGCCCTGGGTCATCGTCAGCGCCTCCAGGGCTTCTCACTTCATCCACCCCGGCGCCACCTCCTCCTGTGACGCGAGGCTGGGAGGCGAGCGTTGAGGAAGTGGACGAGGAGCCGGTGGACGCAGATGGTGGTGGGGGCGGTGATAGGTGCAGCTTGTGGATGAGGTGACAAACGTTGTTTACCATGAGGTGGAGGCAGTGGGGAAGGATGAGCGTACGACAAGTTGGTGGTGGCGCTGGTGCAGTTTGTGGATGACGTGAAAGAGGTGGATATGATGAGATGGAGGTTGTGTGGGAATAAGAGCGGATGACGAGGTGGGGGTTGTGAAGGTAAAAGGGTTTATATGTGGAGGAGGTGGAGGAGGTGGTGGATATATAACGTGGATATGAGGTGGATGTTGTTCTGGTAGAAGAGGTGGACAAGGAGATGGTGGACGTGAATGAGGTGGTTAAATATGAAGAAAAAATAACAGAGGCGGTGGAGGTGGAAGATTCCAACAAAAAGGAGGTGGTTGGGGAGGTGAGGGGTGTTGAAGAAGAAAGAGGTGGAGGTGGTTGTGGTGGAAGTGGTCAATGCAGCCTCTGTTCTCTTTACTGATGATGTGACGATGATGATGTGACGGTGAAAGTGTGCTCGCATGATCATTGCGTGATGATGATGATGATGACGCGTGATTATATTCAATCACAACGTCGACGCATAATGATGGTGACGATGATTATTATGATAATGGAGCACAGTCATAATGATGAAATTGTGGGGTACACAGCGAGAGAGAGGGACGAAGAGGTAGATACGTGAATGGACGGGGTGTTGGATGAAATAAACATTGTAGTGTGTGTTAACTTCACACAACAGTGCAGCATTGACACGGTTATTCCATTTGGATTCAGTACTTGTAACGCACATCTATTGCATCACCCTTGCCATTAGAATGCTATGTGCGGGGGGCTTTTTCGGCACGGGTAAAACTCATTGGGCAATGAATGCTCATTTTCGATAGGGACCTGGTGACAGAAACCTGATCACGACGGCAAAAAAACCGTGAAAAATCCAAAGCCGACTGAGTGCGTGGTCAAGTTTCGAATGGCAAGGTCGTGCATCAACGTCATGGTCGGAAGCAGCACTACACATACCGCATGAAATCGGACAACATTTATAACTTAAAGTCTGCAAATGTAAGAGATAAATTTGCACGTACACGGTCATTCTAAAGTAAGCTATATCCTGTGTACATGTTTAACTCACAATTATTGTAATCACTTGCACGTACACAATTGCTAAAAAAATATGAATAAATATGTATCTGCACGGACATTCAATATTTGTAGCACTGAATATACCAATTATACATTGTATAATTGTACAGATATATTGGTAATTGAGACGCGCATCGGTGCTGTGTGCAATGGTCTCACATAAAATATGATGAATAGTGGTACAAAACGCAAATTCAATTTAAACGAATTCAACATCCACGTTGCCCACGTGTAACCGCTTGTGCGGCAAAGGGCGGCACGATTTAATGGTATTGAGCGAGAGCCAACAGGTGTGGCCAACGAGAGAACAGAGGAGGGAGACAAGAGGGAGACCAGGCAGGATGGGGGTAGGGGCGGGTGGGAGACGTTGAAACAGGGATTGTGGACGAGACAGGGAGACGGGAAGGCTGGGAAGAGACAACGGAGGTAAAGACAGACACGGAGGTGAGACAGGGATGTAGGGAGAGACAGGGAAGGTGGGAGGCAAACATACGGAGAATGAGACAGACGCGGGGTGAGCAGAGTGAAAGGGAGGGAGACGTGGGGGGAGGAAAATGCAGGGACAGAGAGAGAGAGACAGGGAGGGACGTGTAGAGACACACCAGGAGGGAAGGACACAGGATTCAGAGAGTGAGTGAGTCAGGAAGGGCAGCGACGGGGAGACACAGGCATTAGAGAGAGGCACGTGATAGACAAGCATGAGTAAGTGGAGTATGAGGCCAATTAAGCGAACAGATGGGCAAACACACACACCGACACAACACACATAAACATACTGACACGCAGACACACATAAAGACAGACACATGCAGACACAGATGCAGAAAAACACAGACAGACGCAAACACGTGCATGTATTCATAGACAAAGATTTCCCGTATAGCCGTAACCTACTCTTGTTAGCGAGCACCTATTAAGCCCGACACGACACACGACGGGGCGATGTTTATGCACCACACCAGCTATTCATTTGAGGCTGAGTCAACACAGCAGAGGTCCGCAATTGTTTGAAATAATCACCGCTGATGTTAGTTGTAGCCAAAAATCGAACTCGGGTCGCTGGATTCAAAGCGCGATGCGCTAAACACTGCGCCACCGCTCCACCCAAAGCATAGGCTGACACGCACGCGCATACAAAGACGCACACGTAAACACGCAGATAAATACAGACCCCCAGATGCACACAGACTCAAATACACACAAACCTTCAGATCCACAAAGACATGCGTATACACACAATCACATAGATCGACTCCCAGGTGCACAGACTGTCAGATGCACACAGGCGCATAGATATACACAGACACACACATATAGATCTAGAGACGCAGATACAAACATGCTCATATCCACACAAACATGCAGATACAATTACAAATATAAACGCAGAACCAAATATACACGCAGACTCTCAGATACACATAGACACACACAGACACATTGACATACACGCGAGCGCGCAGGCTTGCCTCTGCTGTTGCCTCGTTCGCTCGCTCCCACGCACGTCCAGATGACTAGGGCTGAGCGGCGAAACAGCCAAAGCTGCTGCTGCTGCAGCTGCCGCTGTCTCCGCGAGGAATGTTGAGTCTGCCGGTGGGCAGTTGCTTTGTCTTGATCGCTTTTTCGTCTGCCTGCTGGTCTACGCACACGCCTACCTATCCACGCGCACCTGAATGCATTGATGACCGGCTGATATTGTACACAACAGAACACCCACTGGCTGACTCGCTGAGATAGCCGCTCGCTGTCAATCTGAGAAACGGATTGCCCGCCAGCCGTATACACCGCCTTAGCTGGCTGGCTGAGATACTGGCTGACTATGGGAGATCAAACTAAAACTGGAAGTTTCCTCTGAGAGAATAACTGGCTGGCTGAAATACTGACTGGCTTGAAATCTGATATGATGATAATAAAATAGCATGAAGAAATAACAAGGTAAACTGGTGGTATAGCTGGCGAGCTGGTCGTCTGAGAGAGTGGCTGGTCGGCTAATCATGTGTGTGTACTGAATAATTGGCTGATCGGCCGAAAAGCTGACAAGAGAGCCAGCTGAGCAGGCTGGCTTAGCTGGATAGCTGCCCGTCCAATAAATTGGATAGCGAGCTAAGCGGGTGACTTAACTGATCAGTGGCATGGATAACTGGCTCTCTGTCTGAGTGACTGGCTAGCTGACTGACTGCCTGGCGTGCGTAACTGTTCTGCTGCTGTCGTGGTTTCAATCACCAACCCCCCCCCTACCCACCCCCCGCTCGCTCGCCTGCCCGCCCGCCCGCCTTGTTGTCTCTCCTCCGCTCACACTCCAGTCGCCGCCTCTTGTCGGTCTCTGCGCCACGAGCACGAATAAACGAATTCGCGAGCGCGGGTTTGTTATGCCGAGTGAGTCTGTGTGTGCTGGTGAGTGTGTCTGTGTGTCTCTGAGCGCGCTGCTTTTGCAGAGCGGTTAGCGCGCTGCACCACGAAACCGGCCATCCGAGTTCGATTCCCGATCACGGCCAACACCAGTTACGAATGTCTTAACCAATCCTGGGCCTCCCCTAGGTCGACTCAGCCTCAAATGAGTACCTGGTGCGATGTGTAAATATAGCCACTGGGGAGACAAATGCGGCTGGGCGTGGTTCTGACCACCCAACCCATCGTGTGCCGTTCTGGCCTTCATAGGTGCTCGCAAACAGCACTTGCCCCAAAAGTCGATTAAGGCTATACGGGGGATCTTTGTATTTGTCTTTCGCTGCGCTGTGGATGGTTCTGGGCAAAAGCAAACGCATGCGCATTTTGGCTGCAGTGTTGTCTTCCACGATTAGTCGTTGAGATCAACAGTTATCGTCAATCATTCATTCATTCGCTACTGGTAAACCGTCACTCACTCCATCATGCTTTAATTCAAGCATGCTGTTCAAATCACTCGCTTATTGCCTCCACTGCCAAAGCATCACTCATTCACTCCTTAATTCACTCCCTCGTGTATGTAAGCGTACGTTTATCTATGTAGACCTGTGGGTTTCCATGCAAGTCTATACATGTTAATGATCCGCAGAAAGGGGCGATGATTGAACCAATGAATCAATGACTGTGCCATGCCCTTATTAAATTAAAACCACACCAGCAAGACGCCCATCGCTATTATTTTCCGTAGGTAGCGAATACAACGAGGTGCAAGAAATATGTATATAGAAAGGCTTTGGTTGAGGTAAAGTTTTATTTGGGCTCATGTAAAACCCATTGAGAAATGAACACACAGAAAGCTGGTTACAGAAAAAAAAAACTCATTAACATGACTTTGGGGTGAGCCAACGTTAGCAGAAGGGGTTACCAGGCTCACGTGACCAGTGGCACTATTGTTAGGCTCCAGTTGTTTACTCTACAGCCAGGTGCTACGTTCAAACCCACGTGACCTCAAGTTTCAGCACCCGCTGTGTGGACAGCGCCTCCTCGTTCTCTCTGGCTCGAGTTGAGCTTGTTTGTGCCACCACCGCCTGTGTTTTGAATCCATGTGTTCTGAATCCAATTGCACAAATATCAATTACATATACACACAGAATGTAAATATAATAAAAAAACGACCATCAAATTGTTGGAACATTTATGTAACAAAATAGTAATTGAAAAAAAGAGTGTAAAATATTTCATCCGTGAAAGTCTAACGACTGATTATTCAGGCTCGTTTATAAAAGGTCGTTGCATTCGGATATTTATATGCTATGAAGAGGGGCCATTTTTTGAAACTTTAGGTAATACAGGATGTATAAACATTTAAGGAAATATTATTGACGTATTGGTTGAGTTTTGTCTTCTTATTTGTGCTTGTGCACCACTGCCAACGCAACATCATCACCAAACTATTTTACATTCAGATATTTGGTCATTTTTTTTCTTTTTACCCAGGATATCATCGCCGAGTTTCACATGGCATCTGAAGGTGCCCGAGGAAAAAAAAGCCATCACACATTGCATTGGGACTAGCGCCGGAGTGATCCGCACAGATTAATTCCACAATTCAATTGCTGCACTGCAATCTGCTGACCAAGTCGACTTGCGGCAATGTTTTACTTTGCGTGAAGAAACCGGAGTTGTCGGAGAACATCCCACATATTACGAGGGGACAACATTGAAGTAATGTTAGTGGTAACTATTATTATTAGCGTTATTATCTGGCCAAAGTGTGCCTCCTACTGTGCATACATAGTATGTTAAAATAGTATTAAGCTTATTATTACACTTGTTTACCCAGGAAATGCTGTAATGTAAATTATTTCAGTTGTTTTTCTAAACAAATGTAGGATAATAATGCACAAATGGTAACAATAAATTAATGCATTTTAAGAAATTATAGGCGGTATATGTACTGTCATATCAACCAATATTTTAATATTTGTTTGTAAATTTCATTGTAAATCACATAATAACAATTATTATTTAGAACTCAATTGTCAATCTACTGCTTGTTGAGAATCTTCCCACACCAAAGCTGGTCCGTAGGAGTTATTAGACGATACATCACCACGCTGGTTAGCTGCGGATTAGTGAAGCCGGTGGAGACATAGATTTTCGGTCGAATCGGTTTTGCCCTCTATTTCCCAACACATAACCCCGTGGCAGCCTATACCACCTGGTGGTCGCCCAATCAGGCACTACCGAGACTCAACCCGGCTTAGCTGCTTTAATATAACGAGGTCAGGCACATTCCGGTTGGTTAATAATATTATAGTTTAACACGTAGGCTTTCGCGACCAATATCCATAATACAGGTATTTTTGGGTTAGATCGCGATCTAACCCAAAAAACCTGTATTATGAATATTATCGTTGATGTATATGGCAATACAATTGCGAATTCATGAGTTTATAATAGTTTATTCTGAAAGGTGTATTTTATATATATATAATTATATCTAAAAACGTTCGTTCATAACGTTAAATAAATATATAATTGCCGACATCTTGGATAATGACCCTTCATCACACATAAGTGCCTTGCAGAAGCCAGCTATGATTAATCTACTACGCAGAAGGTAGTTTTTCCGAAACATCTATTATATGTTTCCTTCTAAGGCCACAATGTTATTGACGATTGTATTAGAATTTTTGTGAATTGTGTTTGTGCACCACTGCCACAAAATGCAGCAACATCACCAAATAATTTAATCGGGACCCCATAGCGTAAAGAAACGGCCCTTGCCTGTTATTTTACCAGCATTCTGCTCTTTTCCTGCATATGGCAATATGTTCAGGAGCTATATGCCAAATTAGAGGCCTGATAGCCACGAGAGGGCTTCAAGGGAGAGTTCTTGTACTCTTTGGTTCTTTCGGTAAAGTCACGTAGAAATAAATTAAATTAAATAATAATAGAATACGACGTTTCGATTGCAACACACGTAACCATCATCAGGTACAAATGAATGAGAAAACAAACATAGTCAACTTGGAAATATAATGTAATACAACACAGAGAGTCGGACAACAAAACAGTCAACACCCCACCTGGGTGTTGACTGTTCACATATAGTGTATTGTGCTACATTAAAAACTGCATAGACACTGTCACTGTGGACAAACGCGTTCGGGTTTACCCCAACCAGAAGCCCTGGATGACCCGGGAGGTCCAGCAACTGCTGAAGGAGAGGAATATCGCCTTCAACTCCGGAGACAAAGCTCTCTACAGTACAGCCCGAGCTAACCTGAAGAGAGGCATCCGCAAGGCCAAAGCAGACTACAGGAGGAGGATTGAGGAACGCCTGGACAGTCACGACAGCAGGCAGGTGTGGCAGGGAGTCCAGCACCTCACCAACTACAGGGCCAACCGCGGAGCTGCTGATGGTGACAACGCTCTGGCAGAGGAGTTGAACCTCTTCTTTGCCCGTTTTGAGGTGACACCACAAGGGACAGCATCACCAAACCTCACGGTCCACAGCAGCTTAAACCTCACAGTGGAGGAGCATGAGGTGAGGCGCACGCTGCGAGCCGTCAACCCGAGGAAGGCTGCGGGACCTGATGGCGTCCCGGGACGTGTGCTGAGGGACTGTGCTGACGAGCTGGCTGGAGTCTTCACAAGGATTTTCAACCTGTCTCTGGAACAGTCCACTGTACCAACCTGCCTAAAGTCCTCCACCATAGTCCCGCTGCCCAAAAAAACCCACATTTGCAGCTACAACGACTACCGGCCAGTAGCACTCACGCCAGTGGTGATGAAGTGCTTTGAAAAACTGGTCCGGAGTCACATCATAGGAAGCTTGCCCCGAAACCTCGACCCCCACCAGTTTGCCTACAGAGCGAACCGATCCACGGAGGACGCCGTGGCCACAGCACTACATGCTGCACTGTCACACCTGGAGCAGCAGGGGAGCTATGTGCGGATGCTCTTCGTGGATTACAGTTCCGCGTTCAACACCATCCTCCCACACAAACTGGTGGAAAAACTGGGCGACCTGGGGATTCCACATTCCACCTGCATGTGGATATATAGTTTCCTCTCGGGCCGCAGACAGAGGGTCAGAGTGGGCCGTCATACATCCACAGCCCTGAGCCTCAGTACCGGCTCCCCCCAGGGCTGTGTACTGAGCCCCCTGCTCTACTCCCTCTACACACATGACTGTGCCGCCGTCCACCATAGCAACACCATTGTGAAGTTTGCTGATGACACCACAGTGGTGGGGCTCATCTCTGGGGGGGATGAGTCTGCCTACAGGGACGAGGTGGAGCGGCTGACAGCATACTGCAGGGGCAACAACCTGCTCCTTAACACCGCAAAGACCAAGGAGCTCATAATAGACTACAGGAGAAAGAAAACGGACACTCCACCACTAATCATCAGCGGGGACTGTGTGGAGAGGGTGGCAGACTTCTGCTTCCTGGGAGTCCACATTGGGGAGGGCCTGACCTGGAGCGCCAACAGCACTGAGCTTCTGAAAAAGGCCCAGCAGAGACTTTACTTCCTGAGAATTCTCAGGAATAATAACATCACACAGAAACTGCTGGTGTCCTTCTACCGAGCCTCCATCGAGAGCATTCTTACATACTGCATCTGTGTATGGTACACCAGCTGCACAGTGGCTCAGAGGAAAGCGCTCCAGAGGGTCATCAACACAGCCCAACAGATCGCCGGCTGCCATCTCCCCACACTGGAAGAACTACACAGTTCACGTTGCATCAAAAAAGCACAGAACATTATAAAGGACTCTTCTCACCCTGGACACTCACTGTTTGAGCTGTTGCCATCAGGCAGACGATTCAGATCAGTCAACACAAGGACAAACAGATTCAAACAGAGCTTTTACCCTACAGCGATCACCACACTCAATAATGCTAATTAATTATTAAGTAATAGTGTTTACAATTGACTGTGAAATAGAGATGTGCAATGACAAAATGTAACCTTATGTGGGTATGTGGGTATACTTGGGCTGTTTTTTATATATAGTATAAATTTATTATCTTTCATTTAATTTTATTTTTATTGTTTTATTTAATTTAAATTTATGAATGATGCCCTGACTGGTGAGCATTTTAAATTTCGTTGTACTGGTGACAATGACAATAAACGATCTATCTATCTATCTATTACGCTCTTCCAAAGATTGCTAAATTTGAGAGAGAGACAAAACATAGACAAGGAGACACAGACAGACACACAAGCAAGAGAGAGACTCACACAGAGACAAACAGAGAGAGAGAGATACACACATAGACACACATATATTCCTCTATTGAAGAATCACAGACTGCAGTAGTTTACCAACTGCGTGCTCTATAATGTGTGTTGCACTGCCACGGTCGCACCACTTTGGTTTGTGTTTAACAGTCCACTCATGAAGATGCGCGAATCGGCCCATTGTTGTCCTGGTGCGGTTGATGGCTCCACCACCGGCGTCTTCGAGGAGGCATTTCAAAGCCGGGAGGTGCTATGTTTGGGTCTCGAATGAGGCGTTTATTCTGGACGTCCGCGTGGTTCCACTTTGTTCTTCTGTCACTTGGTGAGATTTAAAGATGTTGGCGGCGCAATTTCAGAACGAGGATAGGGGCTTGAGTCGGCAGCGAGGAACGTTGTTGTGGTCTTGATTGATAGGTAGGCTGTCGTTGGCAAAAACGTCTGGGGCCAGAATGTTCGCCAGGTAACCGGGGTAATCGGTATCGGTTGCAGTGTTCCGGCTCTGATCCGCATTGCGTTATTTATCTGTCCATCTGGCAGTGCTGCGTACAAGCTCCTGGACCAGGCTGGAGCACAATCCTCTGCCACTGAGTAGATCAGTGATAGGGCGACAGTTCGCAACATCTCAGCACCAGGTCGACCCTATAAGTTTCTGTAGCAGAGCGATTCTTGAATTGTTCGTTTCACGGATCTGTTTTTATTGGGGCGTAGAGGTCAGACTTCTGTCCATGATAGGCCCTAGATATCTAGAATTGGGGTCACAGCGCCCTGGGCTACCACAGAAGGACACATCAAGGGAGGCATCTGCAACGGGATTGTTCAGGTGGAAAGCGCTTGTGGTTGTTTCAGAGGGATTTGGTCGGAGTCTCCGTCGATGGAAATAAGCCTCCAACTTAGACCAGCCGTTAAAGAGTACTGGCAGGACGTTTCGAGGGTTGTGCCCTGAGCAGCAAGGGCTGTGTCACATGCAAGTGTGAACTTGCGAGATGATGTACATGGCAGGTCACTTATAATGTTGTGTATTGTAAATAGTGACGAGGGAGGGAGCCTGCTTCTGAGACACCCGTGTGTCGAAACCAGTCTAAGTGTTCTTGTCTTGAATCAATGCTTGCGACTAATGGTGTGTGTAAGAAATGTTTCCTGTAGTATGTGTATATGTGGAGACAGATATGTGCAGACATTGTTCATTTTTTTCGTTTGGTCTCAGTTAAGTAACACGTGTGGCACCACAGTGCGTGGTCAAGGCAACAAAAAAGTTCCCTTTTCTGCGGTACATTTTCACCATCAGCGGAAAATAAAACTCCGCAATGTGTTTTAAAGTTGCGTCCTTGGCAATGAAAGGTTGTGTCTCATTTGTCATTTGCATGAATATATTTTTTTAAAGTCTAAATATAGATGAGATAATGAGACATCACTACACACGCGACCCCGTGTGTGTGTGTGTGTACGCCGAGATTGGGTCATTATAACACACGTACTTGTCGCTCATTGGCTGCTCCAACAGCCAATCGGACATCTGCAAGTGGCATCGACCCCGCCCACCGACATCCCGTGCCGGTGGACTTTCACATTAAAATATAATTTTATTGCAATTCTGACCGAAATAATGACAAGCGCGTGAGTGACGTTGGTGTGCTCGCATTTATTTTAAATTTAAAAATGTTTTAAAAATTAATTTAACCGAGAGCGTACGTGACGTCACGCGCCGATCGGACCAATGCGGAGGGGCCACGGCGCGTCGCGTTGTCGTGGGGCGCGAACAGCTTCTCGATCCGGCGATTCGCGCCGCCGTTCGATTCCAACGCTCCTCTTCGATTCCCCTTTGCGTTCGACTCCAAAATATATGGGCATAACGGAGAATCGATTCGGATTTGTTTGTCGCCGTTGCGGCAAACGTGCGGGAATCGACGGCGCCGACCATTGATCGGGTTCAATCGTGACCGCGAATCGTAAAGGTTAATAATCGCCCGCGTGTCGTGAATCGATTCCTGTATATAAATTCACGTTGGTGGGGAGGGGGGCGTGTTGGACAGCGTTGAAGAGCGACAATCGAAGCATGGGGTTCTTCCACGGTGAGGAACTCGTTAAACTAAACTAACATTTAACATGTTCAATAAGCTTCTTGAGGTACAATATTGTCATAGCGATGCCATTCATTGCAATGATCTGCCTTTCATGTTATTCCATCGTTTGGTGTTAAAAGGCGCGCAGGTCGATATGTTTAAAGGGGACGCGAATACTAAATAATATGTTATTGTGGTAAAGCCGTGCAATGTTATCGTCATATTTATATCAATGTTTAATGTTACACGTTTTTGTTAACGCCGTATTTGCCATACCGTGCTGATGCAAATGGCACTTTAAGTTGGGTCACCGTTGCATTTTAAACCATAGCTTTCTTTACGTGCTACGTGTAACATGTTAAAGTTGTTTATGAAAGTAAATCTACGAATAAGTGTTTCATCTGAAGTTCGGCAACAATTGTAAACAAATCAAAGTTGTTTTGAAGCATCAAACAGGTTTTCTCTCCCACGAACGTGTCCTCTTTAAGAGTAAGTTGAATGTCCTTTATTAACCAGATCATATTTGAGCATTGTGAACTCTATGGAAACGAAATCAGAAACTTTTGACTCCGTAGGTCTTAATTGTTCACAGTTAAAATTCATACCTTTTTGCAAGGCAGGTCAACAATTGCTGTGTCTATTCACCCAGCTGATATTGTATTGCGTTCGATAAACACCAGCAAAGGAGAGCTAGATTGACTACTGTAATTTAATGATATGTCCTTGGACAGTGAGGGTTCTTTTAACATAAAATTTAAGCTGTATCTAAAATATAAATCATCCAGAAATGTATCCTGTTGAATTTCGAAAGATATGCATCGTCTGCTGTATGAGACCGCTCCATATTCTAATACAGTACAGTAGTTCAATTCTGTATTATATACGAAATAGTAAGATCAAATTAATAATGCAGTCTTCTCTACGTAACACGATTGGAATGCGGTCAGTTGTCACGAAGTCATTCTTACATCGCTCATACGTGTCAGTTTTGCTAATGTACACGAGACACGCGCGTAAAATCCTGTTTTAGTTGCCAGAAAATGCTGACAAGTTTCGCCGTTTTTACTCTTAAAAGTAAAAAAAAATGCAGTGGTTTTCCCAATAATGGGGAGGTTAAAGTCTTTGGTCATTGTTGGAAATTCAATATTGTGTCAGCAGCGAGTAAATCCTGAGTACAGCCACTTGTTGACTTGAAAAGTGGTCTGACCCCAAAGAGATGATTGGCTGAGTTGACTCTCGCCTGAGGTTTTAACTCTACAACCTTCCAAATGCAAGTCCTTTGCTCTCACAACTGGTATATGTAATCCCTACTTAAAAATTTTAGTGAAATATGCTGTTTTGCGTATCCCACTGTTTTGTTTCCTGCTTCAATCCCCTCTCTCACACCCTACCTCATTGTGCGCAGGTGCTGTGGTTCTGGGAGTGCTGGTGGCCGGGGCACAAGCCCTGTACTCGCCAAGCGATGATGTGATAGAACTGACGGCCAGCAACTTCAACCGTGAAGTTGTCCAGAGTAATGACCTGTGGCTCGTGGAGTTTTACGCACCCTGGTACGACACTCGCACATGCGTTGGCCTTGTGTCTCGCTTGTGTTTATGACCTTTGATGTGGCCAGAAGATAGCAGAGCATTTCCACAGGAAACCTGGGAAAAAAATAAGTTGGTTTGTGGCCATCTGTCATTTAGAGTCCTGGATAACATTAGTAACATAGGCCACACACCCTGCTGATTAGACCAAGAAACATTGAAATACATCCAGGATATTCCTTTTCTGGTACATGCTGTTGTAAACCCTAGTCCTGGAAGGGCCATTAGTTAGTGATCTTGTTTAATGTCAGCATTTAAACCGACAACTTAACCGTGTATTTATTTTAATACTCGGCAAGTGGGATGCTAGTGTATGTATGCAGTAGATCATTGTAACCTCATTTGCCAGTAAAAAATATGATAATTGGTTTTTGTACCCTTCTATCTGGCAACAAAACTGACACCTTTTTTTACAAGGAGTCATGTTTGTGACTCCTTGTAAAAAAGGTGTCAGTTTTGTTGCCAGATAGAAGGGTAAAAAAACAATTATTATGCAGTAGATGTTTGAGTGCAATGTTCTTAATTGGGGTTTTCTGCATACGTCTTAGAATTGTACCTTTTTTTTCCTCAAGGTGTGGGCATTGCCAAAGGCTAACACCAGAATGGAAGAAGGCGGCCACCGCTCTTAAGGTGATGGATATATGTTGTTTACCTGACTCCCTTACGTTGTGATTTACTAGACTGAACGCTCTCACACTTTACATAAGAATAAGATCATTTAAACACGATTTTTGTTTATCAAACATTAAAAAGGGGGTTTATAAACAGGATCATCGGTCATTACACTCACAACGGAGCCATTTGCACCGAGAATTTTCAATTTCCACGAGCTGCCAAATAATTCCTGAAGTGCATCAAAGTCAACCATGAATTATAAAATGACATTTGCAAAATAAGGTCATTGTGTACCAAGTGACATAATAACTAGTTCATAAATTTGCCAAATTTGAATTAACAATCTGTTCCTGCTTATACGCATTATTAAGGTTCCCCTCCTTAATGCGGTAATGAGTCTTAATAGGCTTAGCTGGTTAAACAAATGACATTTGGTTTTTAATGGTAAAAGGAGTTTACAACTGATAGTAAATGCAGTGGTCGAGCTCATTTGAATTGGCATTGGTAAAATTGAATTATTGATTTAAATAATGTACTAGGTCACTCGGTTGCATCATGTATGCAAGATTGATTATATTGCTAAGTAATCGATTTGCATAACCTGTGCAGCCACATGATATTCATCACGATGTAAAAAAAAATCTCCTTTATTTAGTCAAATTCATGTCCCAGAATCGTGGCAAAATGTGGACTCTCAGGAGGGTGGGGGGTGAATTGTCAAATAGTACACATTTACACATTCTGGAAAGTTAAGAAAGCGATTTTCTGAAACAAAATACAAAACTTCCTGAGGTAGGAGTTAGAGATGTAGGGCCACTCACTTTACCACGTGGCTTGCGGTGTTTGGCACTTTCCTGTAATTCAACGATTTGAAGATATTTATGGTGGATCAAATCTCTTTGTGAATCTCTAAATAAACCTGCTAGGCTGTGAGATGGCAGTACAGCAAATGGATTCTTGAATCTATCAGTGTGGACTTTAGAGTATCGTCATTTATATGGTTGTTTTCTCCCACATGGAAAAACTCGTAAGAACTGGTCAAACATACCAATGCAAGATCCACCTGATGTTAAAGCAGACCGCGACGTGATATTCATTGCATCCATTCGTGTGCAATTTGTAAAGCCGCGGTGACAGACTTCTTTAATTTAAATGTTATAATCCCTTGTTCATCACGATGTCATTTATACTTGTCTCAATAGCGTTATGGAGATCGTGTGTGACGTGAGGGTTGTAAGTTGACGCTGAGGAGGGAGGAGGAGGTGCCTCGCCCCCCCCCATGTGGAGTGACGTCACCCGCTAATTATTATTAATGGGGGGGGGGTTCTCCATGCGGAGTGACATTAATGAGGGGTGGGTCCATGTGGAGGACGTAACCTGTTCATGATTATTAATGAGGGGGGCTGATCGACGTGGAGTGACGTCACTGGCGTTACGCACTGACATTCTTGGGTAAATATCGTAGTAAATTGCACAAAGGAAAACGTGATTTTTTTTTAGGGTAACATTTTTAAGAGTATTTTTCAAATTGCTACAGGGCATAGTGAAGTTGGGCGCTGTGGATGCAGACGAGCACAAGGGACTCGGCTCCACATACAACGTTCGTGGATTTCCCACCATCAAGATCTTTGGCAATAACAAGAACAAGCCTGAGGACTTCAACGGTGAGCTCACAAACAAATCTCGCACTCCAATCGTGTAACTTTTCAACTAAATACCCCAACATTATTCATTGGCAGTTGCTTTCTATGATGCTTTTTTCAAAGTTTTGTATCGTTGAATAAAATAAAGTTTTGCTTGACCTATACAATGCATTGCAACTGGGATTTTCAATAACCTAAATATGATGGTATCTGAAGAGGTGGAGGATGGCCTATTTTTTGATAACTGGAGACATTTAGAAAGGGTGGTGAAAAGGTTATTAGAAGTCAAAACAATATTTCAACAGTGTAGATATAATGAGATTTAGGAATTGAGAAAAAATTATTGACATGATACATTGGACACCATCTTTTATTTGAACAGTGGGAGGGATATGGCACTGGGTTATCCAATGGGAAGGTTCCAGGTACCAGGAAGTAGAGAAGGAACAACTTCACATTGAGAGTGGACGAGGCTGTAAAGGGGAAGTGATCCCCTTGACAGTGCTGACAGAAGGTCCCGGTTGTAAATAAGTTCTCTTGATTGAATTTGACTCGCAGACACTGAGCTGAGCTTTGGTTTTTTAGGTGGCAGGACGACACAGGGTATAGTGGACGGTGCTTTGGGTGCCCTGCGGTCACTTGTGAAGGATCGGCTCGGAGGAAAGGGAGGCTCTGACTCTGGAAAACAGGTACCAACACACTCGTGGCATGCACTTGGCATTACACAACACAGGGCCATGATGGTTTGTGCTCATGTTATATTTGGGCAATAAATTTAACTACGTTTAATTAATATGTATACTTGTTTTTCCTAAAAATTGCAAACCATTCTTGAAAAATAATTGGCTAAAAGTTCCAAGGCCGGACTCTGGAAAAAGTATTGATAATCATTGACGCGTTTCTGTAAAACGACATTATTTGAAGTATTTTATTTTATGCCTACTTGACTTCACCGAAAGAACCAAAAGTATTTTGAATCGTATAAATACATTTTCAGGAAAGGGCTTCTGTAAGCGTAAACCAGTATCATTTAGCATAATGAATGTACACTGTGCTAGGTTGTGGAAGGCAAAGCCTAATTGGCACGTGTAGTAATTCCCTCCAAGAATCTATTAATTGTCATTTATGAAAGAACCAGTTATTATTGCTTGCTGTCATGTGAACCAATTACATACAAAATATAAATGTATCCATTCTTACACAAATCAATGTGTTTATTGTATGCCTAAGAATCAATAACATTGTCTATGGAACATTGCATGCCTCCTGATTTATGCATTTTAACTGCTGAACTTTGTTTCTAAAAATATGCATAGTAATGAGGCCTTTATGGGTAGGGCACATGGGAATAAGCAGAGCTTTGTGTATGCTTTGGAACATAATTTTTGTTGAACAATCCATTCATGGTCTTCCATTACGCAAATACGTTTTGATGCAAAGATGAGTTTATTCAATTGTATTACTCTGGCGGAGCCATTTGTACACTGGCCAGCTTGTTAAGCTGAGTTTTTAAGTACTCATTATGCAAATAGACATGAATGATCCACTTAGTCATTGTACTTCTCGTTTGACCTGTTCGCTGTGGGAGCCTTTCTAGGTTGGCAGGGAAGTGCAGAAACTAATTTTATTTCATGATAAAAGTGCTTTAATTTATGAATAGATCATCAAAATATTAGATCAAAATTTTACTGAATACCACTGAATATATAAAGAAAGTTGGAAAATCTGTAAAATATAATTGAATTGTATATAGTACATAGTTATGGGTCTATTCAAGCACAACAAATAAAATAACATTTACCCCATCAGAAGTTACTTAATACATTTGGTTCAATGAGTGAGAGTGAACATTTTATTTCATCTTCAATGTAGTAAACTCCTAACTACTTTGGGTTGTAACACTGGTATAACTATCCACCAGATATATTGCATGCACCACATGCAAAATATACAATCAAATCGTGATTGTTCATTTGAATGTGAAGGGGGTGCCATTTGGAGATTGGTATATAATTTTGGATATGTTTTTTTCTTTATATTCTCGTGTATAATAAAGCACTGTCACCGTTTGATAGGGAGGAAGCAGCGGTGGTTCTGGAAGTGGCAAAGATGACGTCATCAACCTCTCGGACGATGACTTCAATAAGAAAGTCATCGGCAGTGATGACACCTGGATTGTGGAGTTCTTTGCGCCTTGGTGTGGCCACTGCAAAAAGCAAGTGCATTTTAAAAAAACCACGATGCTTTGCAAACACACCCTCCACTGCAGCACACCTGTACAGCATTGGTCTAACGATGCTGCTCTTAAAAGACAGTGTTTTTACTTTAAAAAATTCCCCTGGTATCAAAGATTGCATAAATAAAAGGTTGTAATTTTTTTGCTCTTTTAGCATATATATTTTTTTAACTGGCTGTGAGGGATGAAATTGGTAGGATTATATCAGGGTACAATGTTTCCAACATTTTTTATGATTAATATTAAATGGCATTTTATACAAATTAGAAAGCATTACTATAGTAATGAGAGAAGGCTATCGCAGTGACAGCTGTTGAAGTAGGCCAACTGTTTTAGATTGAGGCCAAAACCTTATATACAAGTTCTGGAATGAATGTATTTTGTCTTCATTTTTTGACTCCTGATGGTACAATTAATTTATAATGTGAAAATGTCAACGGGAAATCACATTTATATACAGAAATGTACAAACAAGACTCATGAATGACATCTGGTAATTTAGTTCCATTTGTCCCCTTGTGTTGACTGGTCATGTGGTTTGCTGTGTGTGTCTCGGACTGTGTCTAACCAGATATGATTTTCTCTTTGTGGTTGACTTTGTGGCTGTGGTGCGAACAGATTGGAACCTGAATGGGCTGCTGCAGCCACTGAGGTGAAGGCACAGACAAATGGGCGTGTGAAACTCGCTGCTGTGGACGCCACCGTCAATCAGGAACTCTCCAACCGCTTTGGGGTGAGGGGACTGGTGGACGCTTCATTTTCGCACCTCCGATTAGCACGGTTGGCTATGTACAGTGTGAAAGAAGTTCTACATACGTGTAATAATATTACTAGCAGGCTACACGTCCTTTGGACATGATCACGCCTCCCCTCCCCTTGGAGGGCAGTAGTAAAATGAGAGGAGTGAGAATGGCAGGGGGGCAAGAGTCCATTATGAATCTTAACATGGAGTGTAAAACCACGTATGTTCATGTGCACAGATCCGAGGTTTCCCCACCATCAAGGTGTTCCGCAAGGGTGAGGACGAGCCACAGGAGTACCAGGGTGGCCGCACCAAGTCTGACATTGTGGCGTATGCTCTTGAACTGTACACCGACAATGCTCCTGCTCCTGAGGTCGTGGAGGTGAGATTATTTCTTGAAACAACACGTACAAGGCTGCAAGTTCAGTTGCCCATTTTGTGGCAATGCAGCCAGTAGCTTCGCCAAAATTGCCTGCATTTTGATGTGTTTTTTACTTGATGTGTGGTTTTCTACATAACTTCTGATTTTCTCCATTGTGCAAAACAATACATGGGAAGCAACTGGTGGGACAGGCCCAGTGCATTTTCTACTAGACCCAGTAAGGCATTTCTGAAGTAAAAGGTTTTTTGTTTTTATAGTATCAAAAATTATTTACAAGTGAGCTGCGAGTTGAAGCTGTTGCACATGTGTGTTCCGCACCGGGCATTGTGACTATATAATGCAGGCGTGAGATAAGCATGTTGGAGGCATGAAATGGGGTGTCCTTAAATGAAAAGCTAAAATAGTTTTATGAGTTCTGAAGACATTGTTAATCAGGCTGAAACTATCAGGTCACTGCAGTTAAATAGTCGAATCTGATGTAGGTAGCTGCCAGGATTCGGACGAAGGGTCTCTGGTACTGGCTGTGTCGGTGACATGGACAAGAGCTTCATATCCCTGAGACGGGGCCCCCCTGTTTTTCCTCTTGGTCTCTGTTTTAAAACCTTTGTGTGTTTTGATGTCTGCCGTAGATCCTCAACCAGGATGTGGTAAAGAAAAGCTGTGAAGAGCATCAGCTGTGCATTGTGTCCATCCTGCCACATATTCTTGACACAGGTACTTCAACTTATATTCAATGCTTATTCACTATTTCAGATACTAATTAGCTCACTCATTTGCTTCTGTTCTCTTGCTCACTCAACCTACTCAATCGTCCAATCATTGACCTGCTCACTCAAATTCCCACTCGCCAAATTGCACGTTAGCTCACTGATCAGCCATGATTCTTCCACTGCTGGATAAAGGCCTATCTAAGCTACTACATATCTCGTGGTCCTGATATCTTGTTTATTAAAAATCACTTGGAATATCAGTAAAGTCGCGTAGGTAAAAATTAATAGAAATAAAATCACTTGATACAGTAAATTTGGCTGTGACGGTCCTACCTGAAGACTGAGACTTGTGTTGCCTCCGAAACGTCGTGATTGATTTATTTTCATTTATTATTTTATTTCTATTATTTTTTACCTACGTGACTTTACCGAAAAAACCTAAGTATGAATCCTTGCAGTCACGAAAGCTTCAAAACTTGGAATTGAATTGACATAGAACAACCATCTCATTTGCAAGGTTGTCCCAGGGTATGATATGTAACAATTCTCGTGCCTGCCCACAAGCTGATTTCATCACCCCATCTCCACAGTTGACCTTTGGCTGCCACCTTGTTATTAGTCTCAAGCATTGTCCATCGTCCCATTTAGTGGTGTCCTGCCCATGCCCACCTTTCTTAAGTCAAAATTACTGCAACTTTCAAATCTTCTCTAGTCGATGTTCCTATTTCTGTAGAATTCCAAGGATCTTTTTGCGTGTTTTTGACATGTTTTTTGTCAATGTCCCATGTTTCTGCACCATATCACTGATAAAAACATTACTTAAAAAATATGTTTTCAATATTAAATTCAGTTTTCAAAAAGCTCTCCCAACCTGCTGTCATCTGCCTATTTTTATTTCACTAATTTGTAAACTGATGCTGTCACCTTGTGTGCTCGCTCACTGACTCGCCCATTCACATACCCAACCAATTCGCTTACATGCTCGGCCGTTCGCTTACTCAATCTCCCACCCATTCATACTTACGCGCGCTTGTTCACGCACACCCCTACTGGTTGATTGACGGATTGTTCGGTTGCCTCTTGTAGGGGCTGCTGGCAGGAATGGCTACATCACCACCCTACAAGGGATGGCCGAAAAATACAAGAAGAAGCTGTGGGGGTGAGCATTTGAGACTACCTTACTGGGCAGGCGAGGCATTGAAAGCCTCTTTTTAAATAACATGTCTACTTTTTGGCTACCTGGACTTGTGCACTTGTGATTGTTGGAATGTGTGTGCAGCGAGGGCTGGGTGATGCTGGGAGTTGAAACATTACACCTATTCAAGCTGCTTTGGATTAATGCTTCACCAGGATGGATGTGTGGGTGTGTGGGGACATGTATGGATGTTATGGTACGTTTTGAAAGTGCCAGTCAATCTGACGGAAGAGACAGAATCGGTAGTGCAATAAACTGTTAACAGAAGAGAATGCAATGAGACAGTGCAGTGTGCATGCGATACGGCAAGAGCTACATAAGAGATGTCGTGGTCTCTGCAGTTGTATGTGTTCATGTGAGGAACCATAGATATGTGCCTCTGGTGGGAGTAGGTGATAATCACACGGCAGTACAACTCCAGCGACCTGAGTCCATACCAGTCCATAAGAACCCTCAACAATGGGTGGAATAATTGTACTTGCACGGTGTGAGCTGTTCATCCTGAAAGGACGTTATGCAATATTGTATTGCCGTGTGCGATGTGCATTTATCCACAAGGTGGCTGTGGACAGAAGCTGGGGCTCAGCCTGAGCTGGAGGATTCCCTGGGGATCGGAGGTTTCGGCTATCCAGCCATGGCGGCTGTCAACGCGCGTAAAATGAAGTTCGCCATCCTCAAGGGCTCCTTCAGCGAAAGCGGCATCAACGAGTTCCTGCGGTGAGGAGCAGCACGTCACTGCCTGCTGAGCCTCAAACTTTCATTCTGCAGTGACCTTTGCCCCATTCAATTACCTGTCAAGATGGTAAAGTCTGCCTTCCCCACCTATTTGTTGTTATTTATTTATTTTGAGGCTCTTGTGTAGCTCTGTTTTGGATTGCTTTGTTTTGAAGTAAGGTAGTCCAAACTAGATATAAAATGTTGGAGTGCATTGGCAGTGTTGTGAAAGCACAAATTGTAGACAAAAAATGTGACCTTTTTCATTCATGACAACTGAAAACAGAAATATTTAGTCGGCAAATATTTCAGGTAATGACCCTTATTAAGAGCCCTTAGGTAAATAAAAAATGGGGCATGTTACCTGCTCTGAAGGACCAATCTTGTTATAATGTTACATTTTGAAGATGGGACAATTTTCATTCTGGTCAAAACACATGTTTTATAAAATACTGCGGTGCTGTGTTTTGAACAGGCAGTTATACACTTGCTGGGAATGTGCATTGCTATTTTGTGAAATTAAATTATAAAATGTAGTTCTTGTTCAGGAACATACATTGTATTGGGTGCATCTTAATCCTAGCATTAAACCTTTGGGAAACACTGTAAAGTTTTATGTTGGCTTAAGGTTGATCAATTGCCCTTCGAGATGCTTGGGTAGAGCTCATTTTGGGCTATGTCAACTTGTGTAACGACCAATGCACTATTATTTTTAAGTTCTGTCCTTGCTGATGAAAATTGCAAGTGACTAACAAGTGTTCGTCCATCCTACCCTGGTGGCAGGAGTCGGGAGGGCAATGTGTGGGTACAATTTTGAGGCTGGCATACATTGCGAATTGTAAAGTTTTAGCAGAACACGGATGGGAACAAAATGGGCACAAAACTTACAAAATAATTAATTCTACATTTTTTTTGGATGCACATGCAACTTTTAACACGAGTTTCAGAGACTTACACTGCACTTGTGAACTTGGATGTACAAATGTCAAACTCGGGGGTAGCCAGGTGACTGCTGAATGTACAGCGTCAAGAAGACCTATCATGTTCAATTACAAGAACACTGTTGGCATGTAATTTAGAGGTTCAGCAAATAGCAGTTGCTTATCCAATCGAATACCTATTTGGTTGTGGCGAGAACAGAAGCTGAATAGTATTTTATAAGAGCAAATAAGTTGTATGACAGAAATCAGACTGAACCAGATGGAAGACGATGATTCCAGAGAAAGCCGACACAGTGAGAGGAGACATATGGTAGTTTAGATGTGACAAACTATAAGAGATGCAAACAAACAGTGGATGTAGAAATGATGTGTCATGCTGCCAGCTATGGCTGCAAGTTTGGTTGTACATGTTATGTATATCGTTTATTGTTAAATTTGAATCACAGTTCCTATGATCACTGTTGTTACATTGTTTGTATAGCTTTATTTTGGTGATTTCGAAAATATATGGTTAAGTCATGTTTCTTACGGAAGTGGGGAGTTTGCCTGAACTTTTATCTAAATTGTCTTATGGTTGTTATTGTTTGACTTGCATCACACTCGGATTTTTGCACACGGCGTTGTAATACGTTATTTTTCTTTGGAAGATTTGCTGGTTTATCCAGGATGTTTCTGTTGCGTGTCGTCGCTTTAAGATGTTCTCTGTTCATATTTTGTTTGTTGCGGTTGCACCCGACTCAAGAGCCACATGGCTCACCGGGCTATACCTAATAAATGAAACTTGAATGTAGAGATGACAAGGCGAGTGAAGAGCCACGTTGACAAGATAAGATCGATTGAGATTATAGGTTAGATTTATACAGTGGAAGCCAACAAACCAAAAAAACATTTTAACCTGAACTGCATGTAAGGTAGTTTGTTGGAACCATGTTTAATTTTGGCAGCTTTTAAAAATGTGGAAAGAGGAATAAATGGAAACGACTACAATGTTGAGTGGTTCGTATTCTCAAGAGTCTTGCTGCCTTGTGGCGGGGGGTGGTCCCTTTGTCTTGCAGGGAGCTGTCTGTGGGACGGGGCTCGACAGCACCGGTCAAGGGAGCTGCTTTGCCGCCAATCATCAGTAAGGAGGCGTGGGATGGCAAGGATGGAGAGGTGAGGGAGCTGTCGAGATTGCTCACACATCTTCCAGCCACCACCAGGCTGGAAAGCCAACAGCAGTCAAAGCTATGCTTCTACCGACAAAAATCACTCCTCAAATTACGGCCTCGAGGTTAATTGGTTTTATCATGGGCAGGAGGCATCAGTAATTTGTCTGCCGATTTATAAAGCAAACAGTCTGCAACCCGTAATGTGTTTATAGGTTTTGTACCACGATTGATTGTACATGCAAAACAGGCACAAAAAGGAATATAATAATGATCCCAAAGCATGAGAACATATAAAATCATGGACCTTGTTAAACTAAGTTACAGCCTTCGAATAAAACTACAGATCCTGTCAACTGCACACAGGAATTTATCTTTGCCTGTAGTTTATGTGCTTGTGTAGGTCTTTCCCCTAAACTTTCCGGTTTTGTTTTTCTACAGCTGCCAGTGGAGGACGATATTGACCTCAGTGATGTCGAGCTGGACGAATTTGACAGAAGCGAGCTCTAACCACGTCGCAGTAATCATCCCGTCTCTCCTCCCAGACACAACCTCCCCACCGAAATCTCTTCTCTACCTTGTCCGCACACACGTCTGCCTCCTTGACCCACTCTTCCACGCACACACTAGCGTGTGCGCGCACAACCGCGTGTGTGCGCACAGAGCTGTATACGCACGTGCACACGGCGTCGTGCATGCATGCATACAACTGCGTCCACGCGCGCAACCGCCACCCCACCCCTGCACCATACACCCAGCCTTTCCTACTGCTTCTCACCATCAGCAACATGCAATTGCACACACGTGATATCAGAATCTTCATACTGGAGGAATAAGATGAACTATCAAGCTCTTTGTCACACGTCCAGGAGGAGCGGGGTCAGCAAGCTAAACACTGGGGAAACAATACAGCTGTTCCATCAACGTAAAAAACATGACCCGTGTAAAGGTTTCCCAGATATAAAATACGGTCTGTTGAAGGGTGGCTTTTAGGTTTTTTTAATTTTGAATTTGACAGTGCTTTTTCCAACTGCATCCAAGAACAGGGCTCGTCTTAAAAATTAGTATGGGGACGTGCCAGTGGCAGCATGGGGAGGAAAGTGTAAGGGTGCTCGTGCATGATATGGGCTGGTTATCTGTCATAGTGTGGCAATGTGCGAATCGGGATATTCGACTGCTCAAGCAGGGTGGTTGGCAAGTTGCATTTTTCATGATGCGTTCATAAAAGGTGTTCATCCTCCAAAATTACTACCTATGCCACAGTGGCAGGAATAAACAGCAGTGGCAGAAATTGAGGGAACTGCCCTCGTGTTCTCCCTGTACACAAGCCCTTTGGTCTGACTCGTGCGTTTGCAGAAAGGCAGTTTCCACTGGGTTTTTTGGCAGAAAGGTGAAAAACAGGTCTCTTCCTGAATAATCAAAGAAGTCACTTCTGCTGTGCATGCACATGCATTATAAATGCATGCACTTAGGTTGAGAGTGCCCTGTGCAATCCCCATTGTTCTGCACGCTCCACGACCCTTTCATACCTGCCAATGGCACCCCCATGTATTGAAGTCGAGCGTGTGCAAGTCTTCCTCCGCAACCCAAAAAGGCCTATCTGTAAAGGTTGACTCTTCACCTAATGCTGCTCAACAGGTCGTTCCCTTTAGTGGATGTGCAGCCCTGATGTAGAGACTTTTACTGATATTTATAGACGTTCTTGAAAAGCCATGTTCACAATTTCGTAAACGTACGAAGGAGTTTGTAAAATGGCTATTGGTTGGTTATTTTACGTTTTTTGTAAAGGGGTTTGCTTCATTTAAATTAACCACTGCTTTCGAACATCACCTTGCAATTTAATGGCTCGCGTTCACCAACCACGAACAAAGTAAACCAGTGACCATGTTAATGCACCTCCAATTTTAATTCAAAATGACTGCAGTCAATTGGTTATTGTACGCCAATTACATTCGTCACCGTTGTAATGGCTTGGTAATTAAACTTTATTGGTTATTAAAGTTGCTGGTGATTTTGCGCCATGCTGTCCAATAAAATTCCTGCATAAATTTTTGGCAGCTGGTTTAGGCTTTTGGAATGTTTTGGTCTTGCAGTGCCGTGCCACTGATTCCTTGGCTCGGGTGAAATTGTTATGCACTTGCCGTTTCATGCTTTCTTGATGGCGCCGTGTGGTTAATTAAACCACCCCAGTCGCTTCACTTGAAGCCAGGCAGTCTCCCTCCATTGCCAGACAATTCATGTCGAGGAGGATTTGGCTTGACGAGATGCAGTGCACAAAGTCCTACTCGGCTGTTTTAACCAATTAATGATTAAATACTGGGGTGCTGTGTGAAAAATATGGCAGTGTTTGAGGTAGGCATCGGTCTGCTAATGTTCTTAGGATGTTGGTTATTTGTAATGCGCATTCAAGCATAGTTTGCTTGAAATGCACCTTGAGGTGGATTTGCGGGGGGCTTTTCATATAACTCTTCACACGTTTAACAGTTGGCATGGGCAATGACTATTGCCCAACCATCGACCAGTTTACCAATGACTCCTGCTAGCCCAGACCCTAGCCGACATGCAGTACTGTATTTGAATTGGGAGGTTCTTGGTTTATTCATACATGTTTAGTGGGAAATGCACCTATGCTAGAGTGCATTTTTCCCACCACAATGCATCTGAAACTGGTGACACCCTTGCCATTTGGAAGCCTCAATAAAAACGTGGCTTATTTTCCAACATTGTGTTATGGTATGCTTTTTTCCCCCATATTGGTCATCTATTTTTTAATTGGTGGTTGACAACCGTCTAGGCACCCCATCCGAGTGGTCAGTCTGAATTATTGCCACCTAATCTGAGCCCAGTGTTGGTCATTCTCTAAAAACCCCGTTGAGTACCAGTCCATTGTACGTCTATCCCATCGGAGAGCAATATTTCAGGTTTTTGTCTAAGGCCCTTTCAGACCGGTGTGTGATTTGTCTCGTCTAAACCCTGAAGAGCCTCGTTAATCTATCTCAAAACAATTAAGGAAGACCAACATACTAGTGACAGGCTTGTTTAAAGAATAAAACAAAAAATGGGTTAAACGGCTCAACCAAAACTGGAACATTTTTGACTCATTGAGGCTTTTTGGGGTAAAACAAAACGTCGTTCAAAGTGGTGGTTGTTAAACTTAAAGGAACCTAATTTAAACATCAACAGTTTATTTTACATCATTAAAAGTGACTGCATGAATACAATGAAGTGTGTGTTGTGGGCAACATTTACATGTACAGTTTTTTTTTAAACCCATGTCAAGATGACACGGACATGACTCGGAATTAGATGTGTAAATGTTCCACATCTCCATACAATTAAAATATCTCGCAAATGACCCAAATTATTATAAAAACGGTGCTTTAAACCGTAACATGAGTATTGAATGGTTTATTTGTGTAAATTTACAAAATTGCGTGTCTTGTGTGCTGAAATGTGTTTTAGTGGGAAGTCATCGATTTTGTAGCTCAGGATTTTAAACGACCAATGTTTTATTGTCCACGAACTGAGCATTGCTCTTGAGCCGATTGTGGTGAGGAAAGACTTTCACTTTTTAACCGAGATTCCCGGAATAAGTCTTTTTTTTTAGCCACTTGAGAAATGCAACACCCTCATACACAGGCCAGAGCTGAAATTCATACCACTTGATATAGGTGAAAACTTGAATGGTTAAATTTATTTCAATGGCCAAAAAAGTCAACTGAGAACCAACTAATTAAATGTTTTCACAAACTACCTGTATGCAGAAAATTGTGCGTTAAAGTATTTGGTGCTGTATTGACTTCTCTGAAAAGTTTGAAAAGTCAATACAGCAACAGTCAATTAGGCTGTCTCTTCAGCGTTTGGATTCATGCTGAACAACCACGATTTGATACACACTTTCTGGTCATCAAGCGTATAAAAATGTGGGGTTTTTTTGTAAGCGCTAAAACTAGAACACATTTCATTAACGGGTTGGCCTTCTGATTTTATGATAATTCAGTGGACATTTGGCTACCGGCTTTAACGTCACGGAAACCCGTCGGTAACGTGTTGTCTTACGTCAGTGCTACTGGGTACTGATGTGGGTCCTTGCCTTGATTTGGTTACGAACTCCGTCATCAGCACGGTGTTGCTGCATAAACTATTGGCTCCAATAAAGTTTTTATTTAAATATATTGTTTGTGTATTCGCGAGTGAGACTTCGGACAGCCTTCAAGTTTGCCAGAAGATCGTAGTACAGCAGGTAGGTTACTCCATAAGGAATTGTTCAACTATCCTGAGGTTCCTAAAAGTAAGTCTTGGCTCCCTTTGCCGCGTTCATGAATGAAAAGAAGACTTCTTCTTGGTCCTCCTATTTGCCTTCGAGGAGATTAAGGTCGAGACGAAAGTGCACATATGGGTAGTAGTCCTGGCTATTGAAGCTCATTCCTGGTAGATCCATACTCGCCTGTTGTAGAAACACAAGCCCGCATACAAAGACAAAGAAGTGAGAAGTGTCGTTAGCACACTGACCTATGTACCCAGTGCTTGAGTTGAATTCCTGGCCATGGCAAACATTGGGGAATGACATTGAACCAGTACTGATAACCTTCAACGAACACTGACCAGCATGGTGAAGTATGGTCAAACAAAACTCCCATGACCCACGTTGGGAGGCTTTCACCCTCCCCCCCCCCCCCCCCCATTTTTTTTGGCCAAGGGGTGCATTCTACTCATTGTTTTTTTCGGTAAAGTCACGTATGTAGAAATAAAATAAATTAAATAAAAACACATTCCTGCGGAGGGAGCTAGTAGGAACGTTGGGTTGCTCGGTCAATGGCCAGGGTCAACGGCGGCGTGGTGTATTCTGCAAATATGGCCGACTGAGGGCGGGTACAAGCCGGCGTGAGTACGTTAAACGTTGAGTTTTATAAGGGCACCACGGGGTGACCAGCCCCTCCCCACCCTCCCCTCCCACCCCCCACCCAGCCTCACCCCACCCTCCTCTCCCCATCCAGCCCCTCCTCACCCAGTCCCTCCCCACCCAGCCCCTCCCTGCACGACGGACAGACGGACACAATAATCCCCTGTGGGCTGGTGTAACCAGGACGTTCCTACCAGTATAAAGAGGCTCCCAGTATAGAGTCGTCGGTGTCATTAGACGTGAATGCACAAGAGTGTACACACCTGAGGGTGCTGTATGTGTACAAGTGTGTATTTGAGCAGTGTGTACGTTAGTAAATGTTAGTAGCCAGTATACGTGAGTGTGCATACATGATAAAGCATGATTGTGTAGTATGCAAGTGAGACTACCGAGTGTGTATCTGTACATTTGTGAGTGTAAGGTTGTGTTTATATGTGAGTGCAGTGTAAACAATTGCCAGCGTGTACGCAAGAATGTGTGTATACATTAACGAGGATATGAGTAGACTGCATGTGTGAGTGTACAAGTGTTTGCAGAGCTCGCTAACAGCACTTTCCCTAAACAGTTTGTTCAAGGCTATACAGGGGATATTTGTCTTTGTGTGTGGAACAGTGGTTAGCGCACTGCGCTACGAACCCAATGACCCGACTTCAATTCCAGGCCACGGCTCGCATCAGTGACATAGTATATCTGAACCAGTCCTGGGCCTCCCTTAGGTTAATTGAGCATTTAATGTGTACCTGGTACGGAGTGTAAAAATATCAGCACGGGGCAGACGACAGCTCCCTCGTATGCCATTCTGGTCTTCACAGGTACTCACTGACAGTACTTGTCTATGTATGTTGTACATGGTGTCTTTGTAGATATGTGAATTAATACACATTTGCATTTATTAAGTGTTAAAATGTATATGAACTTATACTCATCCATTTTTGAACACTTAATGACATTTAGTCAAGAAATGTATTTTTCCAGAAACGTCGGCTAGGAACGCAACCCCTGTATATAACATTATGTCAATGGGATATTGGAGTTGGCTTGAAGTAATTTCGGGTTAAGTAGCATTTCCCAGGAAAGCATCCCTTGCATATGGCAGAGAGATAGAGATCCTGGAAATGAGACATGAATATGCATGGCCACTCACATCTACAGAGATGCCGGCCCCACTGTCGAGGTGCTTGTACAGCTGCTGTAACACTTCTCTGAGTCGCTTTTGGTTCTTGCGTGGTTTCAGCAGTGCCGCCTGGAAGTTGACAGGGAGCCCATACCTAGGGTGGGTAAGCGGGTACACGCAAGAAGTAGGAGTTGTGATTTAGTACAATAATCTGGGCATCTACCTGCTTACCGTGTCAGGATAGGACTGCCTGACAAGATTGATTTGACATTGTCTTGCCAGACACATTCAAGAGAAGCTTGTGGAGCCCCATTGTACTTTCAGTCAGGAGCAGTCCTGCACAGATTCAATATTGTCTGTCCGTCTACTGCAGATGTGTAGGGAATTTCAACAAGACCTACATCTTTGCTTTGTTAACCTGGTGAAGGTCCGTGGTGCCATATGGAAGCCATGGTTCTGAATTGTCAGTTTCGTCTTTAGACTCCTGAGCACTGTGCTCACAACCATTAAGAATCTTCATTATAGTGAGTCGACCCATATAAAGAGACTTGGTCAGAAGGCACTGCTAGATATATCCTCTGACTCCTTCACAACAGAGGTCGCAATCGGGTACCCGATACCCGTACCCTACCCGATACCCGGCTACCCGTACCCGCCCAGGTACGGGTACGGGTACCCGTTTGCGACCCTGGTGCGGCCGGGTACGGGTACTTGTAAGGAATCAAAACCCGTTTGCGACCTCTGCTTCACAATTCGAACATGTCTAAGCAGTTCAACAATCAGTCCATAGCTATAGCAGTTGAATCTACGACTGGTCCATATATAATGGGACGCCGATCAATGCCCAGGTTAGGCCAACGTTTCATCTCCCTTATCATCGTTATGTCCATGTTATGTCCGCTGAGGGCTTGGTAATGTCTTCCCAATTATATTGAAATTGTGCTGTAGGTGTCACGTGATGAGAAGAACATTTTTATTTGGAATTCCGACAGAAAGCAGTGCACCACCGTGTGTCAGAATTGCTCCAGAAGATAACACGGGAAACGCTTCTAAAGTCACTCTAACAAGCCTTTATCAACACTCGGGGCACACAATTATTGCGTGCACTGTCAAGAGCGTTCGTCACATGTCAATACAATATAGCAACATTGTCCCTTCCTGCGAAAACTTGGTGGGACCCTCCTAAAAAAGAGCTGAGACTCAAAACTAAACAATTTTTTATTTTACCAGGTAAGGCCCACTGAGCTATATAGCTCTTTTTCAGAAGCGACCTGGCCACAAATGATATCTCAACGAAATAGCTTATCATGTGGACATTGATAGTAGCCCAATACTCTCAACGCCTCTTTCTAAATATAGAGGGAAAAACCGGAGGACCCGGAAAAAAATCTACACGACCACGGGGAGAACGTGCAAACTTCAAATATACAGGCATCAGAGTCGGGATGAAACCTACGAACTCCTGTATAAGAGGCGATAGTAGTTAACATCTCGCCATCGTGGGGCTGAGACTTCCCCAGCTAACAAGTATTAATAAATTAATATATTTTTTGCGTTTGATCCTCGGTATTTCTCACTGCAGCATTGGTCTTCACCTGAGTACGCTCTCCACGAACACACGCAATGCCTTCAGGTGGATCCACGCCACAAACGCCTCGCTAAAATTCACCTGCAGCCAGCGCACCATAGGGCCCTGCAACACAC